TCTCTGTCTCTCAAAAATAAATAAAAATGTAAAAAAAAAATTTTTTTAAAAAAGAATAGGGACATCTTCTGCCACAACCACAATGCCCAGTATTATCATGTCTAATGACACGAACATGCCTTTGTTATTAATCTGTTCCCTGATCCAAGTTTCCCAGTTGTCTCACAAATGCTTTGTATGGTTGGTATGTTGACATCGGGATCCACATGATGTCCAGGCATCATAAGTGGTCATTCGGTGTCTCTGTTAGGCTTGCTATCACCTAACACAGACCCTTCCCATTTTGTTCCTACCATCGACTTGGCATAGAAACCGTTGTATAGAGTATCCCACACCTAGATTTGTCTTCTGGCTTCTCTGTGGTGTCACTTCAGTTACTCCTTTGCACTCATGTTTTCTGTAAACTACCCACCAGTTACTTCCTTTTATTCATCTCTAGTGTTAAACCCACAGAGGTCTCTGCGTTTTCCTCTTTTTCCCAGTGCGTCTGTGGTGTTTGCTCTGGCAAGTTCCAACCTAGAAGCATGATGGGGTTACATTTGTAGCGCGGCATCTTCAGAACAAACAAGGCGTGCTCGCTGTAGCAGACGGAGCATCTGCCGGGCCTCGCGGGCAGGGCTGTCAGATCAGCAACGGCAAATCCGTTGAGTTTTGAGTTTGTGCCCATTGACTGCAGCGGCGAGGGCTGGGCGCAGGCGGTTCCGGTCCTCGGGTTTCGTCGGCAGCCTGATCCCTGGCTTGTTGCTAATGGGAACTTAATCACCCTCTTGCCTACTTTTTGCAGTTAAGGGAGTAGAGAAGGGGTACTTTTTCAAGTGTTCAACAGGAGACTTTCGTTTTGGAATCTGTCATTTAAGTCTGCGGGGCACTGTTTGTGTCCAACACCAGGCCCTCCGTGACAGCACGAGAGCCACTCTGCATGTTTATTGCTGGAGTAACAGTGACCTTGACCTTCAGTGTCTGCAATGGCTGCATTCTTCTCTTGGGCAGGCCTGAGAGTGAACTGGTTTGTGATTCGGTGTTAAATCTCAACACCAGCGGTACCACCGAGGTGGGGCATCCGTGCCCTTTCAGTTTTCCATTTCTTGTCTTCATGTTGGGTCCTCACGAGAGTCAGAGGTTCCAAAACCGCTCAGGCCCTGCCCCAGACCCAGCAAGTTGGGGTGGGGGGGGGAGTTGGCAAGATTTTTTAAGACTCTCAGGATGGTTTCAGCAGCAGCCTGATTCTAGAAGACAGTTGCCCTGAATCAGTGTTTAGCAGCAAGCACTTCCCTCTCCTTTCCCCCGACGCTCGGTCACCATCCGTGCAGACTAGTCTGTCTCTCGCTGAGAGAAACTCGGGCAGCACATCTTCCCGCTGTTCCTCCTGGGGGTCCCAGATTTCCCCTATGTCTGGTGCTCACGGCTCTCCAGGGCACCCATCATTGGTGAGGTGATAACTCCCCCCATTTTATTGGCAGGAAGTGGGCGTTCAGTGACTTGTCCTAGTACTCACTAAGTTGGAGTCAAACTTGACACTGAATTCCAGGCCTCTCCCAGTCCCACGCTCAGTCCCATATGAGGAGGACTGAAGTTTAAGAGAGCAAAGCAGACGCTATAAACTGTGGCTCAGAGCATGGCCTTTCACTTCCCTAATCTGACTCAGAAACTACAACTAGAAGCCTTTCAAGGGTGACACCGGCACGGAAATCTTCCTTTCTTTTGATAAAGGGAAGCGTCCTCACACTGCCCAGAAGTCTTATGTCTTTACCATCAGCTACTTTCTTATCTGTTATTCCTTCTGGTAAAACATAACTACCCCAACAAACATATTGACATAAACTGAGGATATTTCATAATATTTTCAGACCTGGTAACCCGACTTCCTCCTGCCACACCCTTCCACACTTCCCTTTTTGCCCCACCCAGCGTGAAGAAAACAACCATTTTGGGTGGGGGGGGGGGCAGTGGGGGTGTGGCTGGATTGATGACAAAAACAACTGATCAAACACTTAGGGAGCCCCTGCTCTTGGCCACGCCCTACACTGCCTCCCGATGCGTGGCCCCAGGTCTGAGTTCCACACATCCACTGGAGAAGATGGAGGCATGAGCCAGCGTGTTCTCATTCAGTGGAACGAATCACCTGCTGCTGGACCAGTGGGGAGGCTGGATTATCTCAGAAGCCTGGGGGGGGCGGGGGGAGAAGGGTGCCACTCACCTGTCTTGGGGGACGGAAGCAGGGAGGAAGGAGGAAGGCTCCCCAGTGTCACCTCTGAACACGGATGAGAGGGACTGCTCTGGGCACATGAACAGCAAGGCAATGGCGTTCACCAAAGAGGGAAAAGCATGTGGAAAATGGCAGGCGGGCCGGCAGGGCTGAGCCGCTTCCTGGAAGAAGAGTTACGGACGTGCGTTGGCACTGGATCTTAAAGCACCTTGAATGTCAGGTTAAAGAGGGAGCGTGTTGTTAACCAGGACGGTGACGAAAAGACGTGGGCCCTTGGGGAACAGTAGCTCCCACAGCGATTGTTCCAGTGACCCTGCAGGCGGCGTGTGTCCCCACGCCTACACCTGCCCATCTAGCTTGCAGGGCGGGTCAGGCCTCAGCAGAGGGGAGAACTCCCTGTGAGCTAGTAAATCTGCCTTATTTATACCTGGTCAATAAATCAGGAAGGCCTGTAGCAGAGCTCCTGGCTGGCCAGCTGCTTGGCTCTTCGCCTTGGAGTACAAAGTGTGACTTCCTTAGCTTCGTAACTACTCCACCAGGTGCTAAACTTTGTTCACAGTGTCATGAATACCCGGCCACCCTTTTCCCTGCGTATATGCGGTCAGCATGTGTGATCTTTTTTATCTCTGGAGCGGAAGGTCATCATAGAACTAGAAAACGTGGGGAGCATTGTTCTGGCAGATAAGTCTCTGAGCAGAGGAAGGAAAGGTGAGCTGCTGCCTAGTCTAGTGTCTGGGCCTTCCAAATGGGGTGCAGAAGACCGTTCAGTAGTAGGTTTTACAGTAAAACAGCCAAAGGTAGCCATAGAAATAAAAGTCTCCTACCCCCCACCCATCCCTGGATGCTAGCCCCCAGTGGTCCTTAGAGGGCCCGAAATGAAAGCTTTCGAGACTGTGCAACGGTAATCACAAAACCACTGAGAAAGCATAAAGATCTCCCCAACTGTGAAAATCCCAGCAAGGCTCCAGCCGGGCCTCAGAGACCTCAGGCTGTAACTACAATTGGCCTGCTGTTGGTTTTAATTCTGCGGCCAGTACGGTGATTGGCTTACAGGAGCAGAGGGCGGGACCTGTTTTTTGCCTGCCTGTTGCCAATTGGCTACGTTATGGTTGTAATCAGGGTCTCAGTGTGATAGCACTACAAGCGATTTTTAGAAATTTTGCTTTAATAACATGGGCTCATAAGCACAAAAACATCCCTACCAAGTACCTTTCTCCCATTAGATAAGTTCCTCAGATATGAAATTCCCGGTAATTTTGAAAGGGGGAAAAAAAACCTTCAAAGGATTTTTCCCTTTACATACCTTGTCAGTTTTGGGTTTTTTGTTTTTTAACCAGGCTTCTGTTGTATTTGCACAGGTAAGCCTGCAGCGGATGAAACCTGCACTAATTTGCACAGGTTTTAAAGGGCACTTTGGATTTTCTTAGAATCAGCACATCTGCCCTATTCTGATTTGTAAAAACCAGTCAATTGTTTTTTTTTCCCCAAAGTATTAAAAAAAAAAATACTAATCCTGCAGAAAATGACTAGGGAAAATTGACTTTTTAAATTCTGCTCTTATTTCAGTAAATCTTTTAAAGTGGCTTGTTATGTTCTAGTTATTGGCAAAGTCCTAAGTGGCCTGGCTCGGTGGGGAAGGAGGCAGAAGGAGGTGGTGAGTTGCTGCCATCTACTGACAGACAGTGGTAACAGCGGGTGCCTTTTTTAAGCCTAAATGGACCTTCCCTATCCTCTCAACTGTGGCCGTGCCTCTTGGACCGGGGAGAGGCGGTCATTCATTCCAGTCTCACAGCTTAACGGGGCTATTCAAAGAAGGCAAGATCCACTGTGTGATACCATCGCGGTCAAATTTACACGGGTAAAACCATACATACCCTCACATAAAAACAATTAGGAACTCAAAGGTCGTAAACAGCAGCTGGAGGAGACTGGGCCACCAAGAGGTCCGTTGGCCGTATGGACGCCCTGTGTGTAAAGGCAGCTGAGAGCCCCAGGGCCGCTCTCATACCAGCCGTTCAAAATTATCTCCTCTCCGGCTGCCTCTACGAAAAGAGCAGGATTGTTCTTCTCGAATCAGTTTGAAATTTTTTTAATGGTACCTTCTAATTTTTTTTTAACATTGGCAAATATACCCAAAATTTTTAAGTCATAATGTCATCGCTTTATCCAGTGCTAAACTTTGTAAAAATTGTCATGAATATCCAAACAGCCTGTTCCCCGCATATATGCTGCCCGCCAACCAACATACGTGATCTTTTTTATGTCTTTTTTCTTATAAACACATGATATTTGAAAAAAAATCCAATAAAAATCACTATTGAATGCCAAACGTTTAATTTTCCTCTTAATCCCACCTTACCAGAGACCATTATTTTTAATATTTATATTAATTATCGTAACATAATTCATACATAATAATTAATAATAGCTTGTTAAAGATAGCTAAACATTTGTACTGAATTTTTTTTATTTTATTTATTTTTTTTTAATTTTTTTTTTTAACGTTTATTTATTTTTGAGACACAGAGAGACAGAGCATGAACAGGGGAGGGGCAGAGAGAGGGAGACACAGAATCTGAAACAGGCTCCAGGCTCCAAACTGTCAGCCCAGAGCCCGACGCGGGGCTCGAACTCACGGACCGTGAGGTCATGACCTGAGCCGAAGTCGACGTTTAACCGACTGAGCCACCCAGGCGCCCCTGTACTGAATTTTTTTTAATTGCAGTATAGTTGACACTCAATATTATATTAGTTTCAGGTGCACAACGTAGTGATTCCACAGGTTTATATGTTCTGTGTCCACCATGACTGTAGGTACCGTTCTTCCCTATACAACACTGTTACGATACCATTGACTATATTCCCTACGCTGTGCTTTATATCCCCATGACTTATTCCATAACTGGAAGCCTGTACCTCCCACTCTCCCCTTCACCCACTTGGCCCATCCCCCCACCTGCCTCCCCTCTGGAACCCATCAGTTTGTTCTCTGTAGTTATGGGTCTGCTTCTGCTTCTCGTTTATTTTGTTGGTTTTGTTTTTAGATTCCACATATAGATGGAATCATATGGAATTTGTCTTCCTCAGCCTGACCGATTTCACTTAGCCTCATGCCTTGCAGGTCCATCCATGTTGTCACAAATGGCAAGATCTCGTCCTTTTTTTTATGGCTCTGTAGTATTCCATTGTGTGTAAGCATTTGTAGTGAATTCTGAACTGGAGGGTTTTTTTCATAAAATTATATTGGTGCTTTTCATTAGAAAATGAGAAAATAAAATTGCCCATTCTTATTAAATTTGTTTCATTCCTTCATTAAAACTGTGTCTTCAGGGGGCGCCTGGGTGGCGCAGTCGGTTAAGCGTCCGACTTCAGCCAGGTCACGATCTCGCGGTCCGTGAGTTCGAGCCCCGCGTCGGGCTCTGGGCTGATGGCTCGGAGCCTGGAGCCTGTTTCCGATTCTGTGTCTCCCTCTCTCTCTGCCCCTCCCCCGTTCATGCTCTGTCTCTCTCTGTCCCAAAAATAAATAAAGGTTGAAAAAAAAAAATTAAAAAAATAAAAAATAAAAAAAAAAAAAAAAAAAAAAAAAAAAAAAACTGTGTCTTCAGGTCCCTATTAGGGTAAGAGACTTTGCTTTGTGGTTGGCATGGAAGCAGAGCCAGGATTACTGATAAGCCCCTATTGATGAGTTTAGTCCCTACATTTATTGTGCACGTGTGATGTGCATCTCTCCCTCCCCACGACTATATTTGTGCTTGGCACGCAGTAGGCGTTCCGGAAATATTGATGCGTGAATACAGGCCACTCCCTTTGCCCAGAAGTGCCCGCTTACCCATGCCCTCATTTGCCTGTGGTGAAATTCTGTTGTTCAAATACTACCTTCCTCCAAGAAACTAGCCTGCATTAAATGAGATAGAGTTTCTTGTTGAATTACACCTAAGTAACACATTCTTAAAAAAATTCAAAATATAGAAAAACATCTCCTTTTACCGTCTCTCCATTGCTGTCCCCCTGCCTGATGTGCATCGATTTGCTACCTTTTCATATAGATAACATCTTTTAAATGAACCATGTATGGCACATGCTCAGTAGATAGTATGACCTGGGGTGCCCAGGTGGCTCAGTCGGGTGACCTTCCAACTCCTGGTTTTGGCTCAGGTCATGATCTCACAATTTGTAGGCGTTCAAGCCCCACATCAGGCTCTGCACTGATGGCACAAAGCCTACTTGGGATTCTGTCTCTCCTCTCTGCCTGCCCCTCCCCTGCTTGTGCACTCATGCTCTCTCTCTCTCTCTCAAAATAAATAAATAAACTATAAATAAATAAGTGAATGAATGAATGAATGAATGAATAGTATGACCCCATTCCTGAATATATAATCATTACTATGCATTAGGCACGTACTATGGACCAGAGGCCATCGATTGTCTTTATAAATAGCTCTCTGAGGTGGAGATTGTGACCTCCCCGCCCTTTTAGAGGTGATGAAATTGGAGTTGATACCTAGAGTAGGCTCCCTGGTCAATAAAACAGAAGTCACCTTCTGCTTTAACCCCTCTTACTGCCTCGGGTCCTTGTCTGTTTCATCCCTGTGGACTTTAATCACATTTTATTCTATTTTCTGGGTATCGGTGACCTCTCTCTTAATTTCCAGATCATTACCCCAATGCACAGATCCCCCCACACAGAGTCTCAATGAATATCTACAGAAAGAAAGAGACTGATTAAATTCAGGGTCCCTGAGATGTCCCACGACAGTGGCCTGACATGATTTGTTCTTGCTGCTACATCAGAGATGGGGCTGGATCCCAGGTTGAGCAGATCCAGCCGGGGGAGGACGTGCTGATGGCATGATCGAAGGGAAGCCCCCTCTCCACATGGGGAGTGTGGGTTGTTGTCATCTGGTTGGTTGTTTTTGTTTTCTTAATTACTGCCTTTGTATAGATGATAATCCGTTTTAAGTGATCTCATAACACACTAGATGGTGCATTATGCCGTCTAGTTGTCCTTATCGTAATTATCTCTCTATTATCATTATGCTGGGTAGATAGGAATAGGAAAACACAGGAATGAGTGAACTGGGGAGAGGCAAGGGGGACAGACTAAGCCCATGGAATCTTCACCCAAGTGAGAGGCACTTATCAGAAATCACCAATCTTTGGGACAGAAGGAAAAATAAGACAGCAGTTTATTTTCATGGGAATATTTTGGGTAAATAAATGAATGTATCTTTCTGGCCCTAATTCTCTGGTCCTGGAAGCTGGGTGGACTTCTAATTGGCCAAAGGTTCATAGGGTTCTAGTCCCTGTCGAGCAGCCTTCTTTGCCCCAGAAAGCACCATCTTTGGTTAACCCGGCCAGGAATGTTCTCTGCAGCGGTGATAGATGGGATTCTCAGCTGTCCCCTCATCCCCTCGGGTGGTCCCTCAAAACTATTCCATGAGCTTTCACAAAGGTCTGACGCTTCTGGTTTATTAACGTTCCAGTGTGGGTTTGTGAAGGGGAATCTATGCCGCACCTCATGTCTCTGTTGCATGCTTACAGGTCTGGCTGGTTTTGCTCGCCTCTGTCCTGGAGATCAGTATGAAGTAAGTATCGTGTCCATCTGCGTGCTGGGATTGGGGATTTGAGGGACAGGAGTCAGCTGCCATTATTTGGTTTCTTACATTGCCCTTTTTTTTTTTCCTTTTACATTTGTTTATTTGGGGGGAAAATGAAGCCCCAGTGAGAACATTTGGAGGTGAAGACCCCACATACTCTTCATCCAGACACCAATTTTTTTAATATGAAATTTATTGTCAAATTGGTTTCCATACAACACCCAGTGCTCATCCCAACAGGTGCCCTCCTCCATACCCCTCACCCACCCTCCCCTCCCTCCCACCCCCATCAACCCTCAGTTTGTTCTCAGTTTTTAAGAGTCTCTTATGGTTTGGCTCCCTCCCCCTCTAACTTTTTTTTTTCCCTTCCCTTCCCCCATGGGTTTCCGTTAAGTTTCTCAGGATCCACATAAGAGTGAAAACATATGGTATCTGTCTTTCTCTGTATGACTTGTTTCACTTAGCATATCACTCTCCAGTTCCATCCACGTTGCTACAAAAGGCCGTATTCTTTCTCATTGCCAAGTAGTATTGTATTGTGTATATAAACCACAACTTCTTTATCCATTCTTCAGTTGATGGACATTTAGGCTTTTTCCATAATTTGGCTATTGTTGAGAGTGCTGCTATAAACATTGGGGTACAAGTGCCCCTGTGCATCAGCACTCCTGTATCCCTTGGGTAAATTCCTAGCAGTGCTATTGCTGGGTCATAGGGTAGATCTATTTTTGCAGACACCAATTTTTAACATAATGTCACATTTGCCTTATTATTACTACTATGATCGTTATTTTGCTGAACCATTTTAGACCAAAGCACAGGCATAGTGACCTTTTGCCCCATAATTATTTTCCCCAAAATGGAAGAACATGCTTTCCTATCAGGATCGTGCAACTCTCAACGCAGCTAACTTAACATTGGCATTTGCCATACTGTCCATATTCGTATTTTCCCCAGTCCCAATGTTGTACTTGAAAGCAGCCTTTTCTCCTGATTCAAGAGCCAGTCCGGGATCATGAGTGCTCGTAAATATCACGGACTAAAGAACACTAGTATCTAAGACCTTTCTTTATAAAGATACACTCCAGAAAGTAAAAAAGGCTTTTCTCTTTTCCCCTCTTTAAAAGAGAACTTCCCTAATTGAATCATCTAACTGTCTTCTCCAAAACCCTCTATGATCATCCTTGGGGCGGGTGTGAGGGAAGGGTGTCTTCCCCTAAACGGTAAAGCTGTCTGAGCAAAGAGAGTGGAGACCCTCTCCCTGGGGTCTGTCGGATTTCAAAATCTTTGTCCAGTTCTGCCTCCCTCATCCAGGAGGAGGAGGAGGTCTTTTTTCGTGCTGCTGGCTGCTGAGTAGATTTTAGCTGATGGTTTCTCCTCCCGCTCACGGAGCTGGGGGGTCCAACGGCTAATGTACTGAAGCATTGTATTCTCCCAGGAGAAGGATCTGGTCACCGTGACCGTGGTAACAAGGAGACACGGGTTGACCTTTTACAAAGAGGGCCCCCTACCCCCTCTGCCTGGCGGAGCAGACCTTGCTCCCTCTTAAAAGCCTCTTCCCCACTCACCATCTGCCCCTCCGCCCAGACCCCAGGGAATTGGAAAGACCCACAAGAAGGGGGTGGGCGAGGAGGACGGAAGAGGGGGGAGCAGCAGCTGATTTATTCCCATGCCGTGTATCTCGAAGTGTGGGTGGCAAGTCGGGCGAGGCCCCTGGAACCCGAGG